TTCTGTAAAATTGAAATATTACTATTATATACTTAAAATTTTTCTACAACTGCTCAGCACATTAAATAAAATGAAAATTTAAGAAACTCTACATTTAATATTTGCTTGGTTCTCTAAATTTTAATATAAAAAATTCATATGCGGAACTGTTCTGCAAAATTTGTCAGCTTTACATTTTTTCGGAAGAAATATTTTATTCGAGTTAATGAAGAATTGTAAAACTCTACATTAAAAATGTTTACCAAAACACATTATCAACATTGCTAAACAGTTCTGTAAAATATAAATTTAATTTTCATTTTGCCTCTTTTGATATTAAATAAAAATGCAGTTTTTTTATATTGAATTTTATCAGATTGCATCTCCATTAGAAAAAAAATGTATAGATAAATTCAATTGATGATTCGATTCGAATTGAATATAACTTATATGGAATCAATGGAGAGTTTGGAAAAAGGCGAGTACTGTCAACCGGGAACCTTGTGACCGGTGCGGCAAAGATCAAAGACGGTCCAGAATGGTTTTGAGCGGGTCCATCATAAGCTTTCATTGAGCGTTCGGTCTCGCTTGGATCAGAACGTGACGCGGGTGAGGCGATTTATTTGCCATTGCCGTTCTCCTCATTTTATCGCGACGTGCCTTCAAACTCCAACTATTCGTCTCAATTTCCTTAATATACTAAAATTAGAATTAAGATGGATGAAGAAAAAAAAATGCTTTTTTAGATGCGAAAGAAAAATTTCAATTCATGAATACAATTTTCTCTATAGATTCTTTGTTTACTGCATTTTGTTTACTCTAACCTGTTCTTTCTATTTTTTACTGCAGGTACTTTTATTATTTTTATTTATTTTAGTCTTTTGTGTTTTTACTAGTTTCAGTACTTTTTTTCATTTTTACTATTTTTACTGTGTATTTGCTACATATTTACAATTTTTATTATTCACAATTTTTACTATTTACTATTTTTCTTTTTACTATTTTTACTGCATTACTACTATTTTTACACTTTTTTTGTTCTTTTCGATGTTTTAATCTTATTACTATTTTTACTATTCTTTTAGTACTTTTTTATTCCTTCAATACTTTTACTCTTTTAATGTTTTTACTATTTTTACTCTTTTCACTCTTTACTATTTTTACCCTTTCATATTTTTGTACTACTTTTTTATTTTTATAACTATTTTTATTCTTTTTTACTCTTAATTATTTTTCTCTCCTTTTTACTATTTTTATTCTTCTTAATATAGTGAAGAATAAAAATAGTTAAAATATAACTGTTTTTATTCTTTACTATTTTCACTATTTCTACTATTGTATTACTAATTTTTTAATTTTTACTATTTTTTATTACTTTTTTCTATTACATTTTACTATTTTAATAGTAAAAATATTTTTACTATTTACATTTACATTTTACTATTTTTACTGTTTTTAATATTATTAGTCCTTCTTTTTTTAACTATTTCTACTATTCTTACTATTTATACTAGTTTTTTTACTCTTTTTACTTTTTATTATTATATTATAACATTTTTACTTCTCTTATATGTATATTATAACATTTTTACTATTCTTTTACTCTTTAATATTTTTTTACTGATGTTTATCTGCGTTTTTAGTTTACTATTTTTACTATTATTATTTTCACTAGTTTTACTATACTTTTCCATAACTCTTTGTACTATATTTACTATTTTCATTAAATTTTTTACTTTTTTTCTCTTTACTATGTTTTTACTATTTCTTCTTTTCACTAATTTTACTTGTTTTGCATCTTTACTATTTTTACCCTCTTTATTTTTTTAGTATTTTTATTCTGTTTGCCTCATAATACTAAATTTAAAAAAAAGTACTTTATTACCCTTTTTTATTACTGTTTTAATTATTTCATTATTCTTTTTACTATTTTTATAATACGTTTTTTATTCCTTTCACTATTTTTACTGCTTCAAATATTTTTTCATTTATAGTACTTTTTTAACTCTATTGATTATTTTTATTACTTTTTTACTATTTTTCTATTCCTTTATTCTCTCACTAAAAAATAAATCATTCTCTTTTCTTTGCCAAAAAGAAGTAAAAAAATAGAGAATATAATAACTCATTCGATGAAAAAAACTATTATTCTGAATTTAAGAATGACAGATTTGCCAATTAAATACCAAATATATACCAAATATATACCAAATATAAGACAAATTTCTTTTTAAATCTAGAATAAATCTTTACCAAAAAACTAAAATAAATTAAAATAAAAAATAAAAATGAAAATACCATGAAAAAATCGAAAATTTTCAAAAAAATGTTAGAGATATATAAATTAAAATTTTATTTCAATAAGTTATTATAATACACGTTTTTTTGATCTCGCGCAGAAATTTTAAATCAAGAAGACGATAGTCTTCTTGATTTAAAATTTCTGCGCGAGATAAAAAAAAAAGAAAAAAAAATGTGACTATTATAATATTAGAATTTATATTACTGATGTTTCTGTGGTGATCTCTCTTCGGTTTTGGTTTTTTTATTAATTTTTTTTTCTTTCATCTCCGCCTATCCACGCGACTCTTCGGCACCGCCAAAGACGAGGTCTGTAATTCTGATGATGAGGCCGCTCGCGACACTCGAGAGACAAATGTCTCCTCGAATCAAGAATGAACATTTCAACCTTTCCACCTTGAGTCAATTACCTTGATAGTACTCCTCTCTATAGTATATTTTCTTTCAAAATTTTTTATATCTACCCCTTTACCATCATCGTATATTTTTATTTTAATATATTTTTTATTATCGTTTTTTGCTTTTGCTTTTTTTCCTAATATCAAATTTTCGCGGTTGTAAAATATAAGAAATAAACCAAAAACACTTTGTACATTTTTAGAAGCGTACAAAAAAAGGGATTTTAAAAAAAGACGATTTGAAAAAAATCGCTGAAATTGAAATGAGATTCTAAGAAATCCTTATTGAGGAATAAGAAAAGTAATTTATAAAAACTTTCTTAAATTTAGGAATAACTTGAATTATAATTTGGTTTTAGAATGAGAATGTTTTTTAAATTTAGGAATATAATTATAGGATATTTTTTTCGAAATTTATTTTTGTATTTTTTTTATTGCTTCAACTATATTTATTCTTTTTTATATTATTTTGACCATTTAATAATTTTAATATTTTCACTTTTTTTTACTCTTTACTGTATATTTTACTAAATTTTTCTCCTTTCTTACTATTTTTACTACTTTTCTACAATTTTTTTTACTTTCACGTTTTGTACACTTTTTAATATTTTTACTCTTTTCCTTTTCACTCTTTACTATATTTTTACCATTTAACACTTTTTTGCTTTTTTTTATTTTTCCAACTGCTATATTTTAAAGTATTTTTACTCATTTCTTTCTTTATTTATTTTTACTTTTTTCACTTTTTTTACTTTCATTATTTTTACTATTTTAACTTTTTTTGTTACTATTTCTATTATTTTTAGCAAAAAAAATTTTTTTATTTTACTTATTTTTACTTTTTTAAATTTACTTTCCTAACTCTTTGTAGTATATTTACTATTTTTTTATATATTTTTCTTTTTATTATTATTTTACTTACTTTTTTACTGTTTTTAGTTTTTTAATTTTTTAAAATATTAATACATTAAAACCTGTCGGAATGCAACTTGATATTTTAAATTTTATTAGGTACAGTAAGCAATCCTTAAAAAATTGTTTTAAAATTTATAATTTTATAATTTTGTCAAATTTTTATAATATTCTAGAACTAAGTGAAAATAATTCTTGTTGGACATTTTTGAATACAAAAAATTTTTATAATAGAGTTGCATTCCGACAGGTTCGACTGTATAATATTGTAGTAAATTAATTATTAATTAAGACTAATTGTTAATTAATTGAACAATTTTTTTTGTACTTTTTATTTTAAAGAGAAAATAATAGTCGTAATTCTAGGAATATTTAAACAATAATACGATTGTCTTAGGAAAGAGGGAAATTTGAAAATAATGTCGTTAATGTTAAAAAGTTTTAAGGGAGAAAAAAAAATCATAATTAGATAAATTTAGGGAGAAAAATATCCTTGACGGATATAAAGGTCCTGTAGTTCTCGGGTGGTGCTGCCAGCTTTCGGCGATTTAGTATAACAGAAGGAGCCAGTGGAGTGCGTGTTCTGAGGGAAGAAATTACCTCGCTTGCGTCGACGTGGGTGCAATTGCTTTGGGAATGTTAATCGTCGACACAGCGACCCACCGCAGTGGTCCAAAGGAACCAAAATTGCATTTTCATTCACTCCTACAAACAAAACGAAAATTAAAACAGAATTTCTCGAAACAATATTTTTAATTTTTTATTATTATTATTATTATTATTATTATTATTATTATTATTATTATTATTATATTGATATTAATTGCACAATGAATAAAATTACTTTTTTATATTTATATTTTTATTTTAATATTAATGGCATAATATAATTAATAAAATTACCATTTAAATGTTTACAAAATTAATTAAATTAGAAAAATAAAAGTTTTAAGTAAACTTTAAAAAAGTTTTAAATTTAAATTTTTTGAATTTTACTTCTTGGGGAAAATAAATAACAATAAGTATTTAAACTAATTTAACGAAATTGCTGAAGAATTGAATAATTTAATTTGGAAATTCTGAAAAATTATTATTAAAATTTCTTTAATTATGTTTAATTCAAAAATAATTTTTGGTTGACTCTATAATTATATTTAATTCAATTAATTTGACTGTATAAATATGATATATAATTATATTTAATTTAAATATATTGTTTTCTCAGTGTAACTAAAAAAAATTAAATTTCGCCAATTTAGTAAAATTTACTCTTACGTTCAGAACTTTAGGAACATTAAATAATAACTTTAATAGAAAATAATGTTTTTTTATAACAAATTTTTTTTATATTTTTTATATTTATCTTACGAATTCGAAATTTTTAATTCAATTTTTCTTTGTGTTTTTAAGATTCCAAAGAAAAATGCGCGGGATTCATTTATTCTAACTTGAGAATCTGCGAACGGTGAGTGAAAAGAAAAATTATTATATTATACCAAAAATGTAAGAGAGTGTAAGAGCTACAAAAAAAAATTAATTCCTTTATATATAAGAAAAATTGTGCGAAAATTTCAAGACTAATATAAGAGAGAGAGAGGCAGAGAGGATTTTTGCCGCGTTAACGAGAATCGTTTTAACATCGATTAACCCTCCCCCTCTTTGAAAAGGAAAAAAAAAATTACCCCTGGCCCGGTGTCTGCGGGGCCCTATATAACAAAATTGGTTCGTTGCTTTTGCCAATTTCCGTAGATTACCCACTTTTTTCCGTGTGTTTTTTTTTTTTTTTTTTTTTTTTTTTTTTTTTTTTTTTGGTAAAGGTCCGCACTCAACGAATTCGTCGCTCCGACACAAAATTGTGTTAATTTGCCGCCTAACTATTTATCTTTATAGCCTCATGCCGAACGACTTCCCAAAAAAAGAGAGATTCCAGAAAGACGTTAAAAACTTTCCGCGGATTAACTTTGCGGAGTCCGATCATCTCTCGTTCCTTGGTCCAGAGCTTCAGATTATTTTTCTCATGTATAAAAAATTCCAGATCGCAAAAAAATTTTTTGTTTCCTTTCGAAAGTGTAATTTTTTTGATAAATGCGTTAAAAAGGAGTTTTTTCGTATTTGAAAATAAAACAAAATTTGGTTTTTAATTATCGTAAGTATATATACGAAAAAAAATAGTAAACAAAATTTGGCAATTTTTTAAAATAAAATTATTAACTTTAAAAATAATAGAATTTAAAAATTTTTTAATTTAAATTTCTGTTAAACAACACTAAAATAATTAATTATTTTTAAAAATTTTTCTCATTTCAATGATTTTCAATATATTTACTATTTTAATAAAATTTGCTTTAATTCAATTATTTTCATGAATAATAACATTTTTCTTAAGGAATTCAATTACTTTCATAAAAAATAATAAAAAATTCTAGAAAATAATAATTAAATTTAAATGATGAAAAAAATTTTGAAGAAGTTATTTAACAATATTTTTATATAAAATAATGATTTTATCACTTAATTATTATAAAAATTAAATTAATTATAATAAAACATGAAGAAATCGATCACTCCGAGTCTTCGACTCGGAGCAATCGATTTCTTCATGTTTTATAACAATACTTTTATAAGTTGTCTAATTTGAAAAAGGTTTGAATTTGAAATTTTTTAATATTTTAATTTTTAATTCACGTGGAAAAATAATAATAATTAAATATTTATTTAAAAAAAGAAGTTTTTGATGTTTTCGATTAATTTCACAATGAAATAAATGTAACAGAACATTCTTTTGAGTAAAATTTTTTCCTTTATTTTCTAAAAATAAAAATATTTCCAATTTCATTTTCAATGAGAATTTATAACTGACAAATAAAATTTATAAACATTTTTTTCTTTTATTTTAAAAAAAAATTTTGAATTTTATTAAAACAATTGTAATTAAGAAATAGAAATTATGCTTGAGAAATGAAAATTAGGCATAAAATGAATATATTTCCTTTTTCTTAATCATAATTTTTTAACAATTAACAATTTTCTATTTTTTCTAAATAAAAAGGAGATAAATTTGCATAATTTAGATCAGTCAAACAAAATTTGTTATAAAAAAAGCACATAATAAACAATATTTATTTCTTAATTATAATTTTTAAAAAATTTTCTAATTTTCTTATTTTAAATATTATTTTATTATAAATCATGAAAAAACACCTGCATTCAATTTGTCAAACAATATTTTTAAAAAAGCATACACAAAAACTAACTTCAAAGTGTGGACAGAATGAATGAATGAAATACGAAGATTATTATAGTTAATAATTAAATTAAAAATGTCCCTAAATTTTTGAACGTTCAAATGAATTGAGATTTTTTTATTTACTTTGTTCAATTTTGAATTTTACAGCATAAAATTTTTTTCATATTAAAAAATTTGACTTTTACCTATGCAAATAAATATATAACAAAGAGATAGGAAAGTAAATTAAAAAAAGTAAAAATAAGTAAAATAAAAATTTTTTTTGTTAGAAATAATAAAAATAGTAAAAAAAAGTGAAAATAGTAAAAATAATGAAAGTAAAAAAAGTGAAAAGAGTAAAAATAAATAAAGAAAGAAATGAGTAAAAATACTTTAAAATATAGCAGTTGGAAAAATAAAAAATAGCAAAAAAGTGTTAAATGGTAAAAATATAGTATAAAGTGTGAAAAGGAAAAGAGTAAAAATATTAAAAAGTGTACAAAACGTGAAAGTAAAAAAAATTGTAGAAAAGTAGTAAAAATAGTAAGAAAGGAGAAAAAATTAGTAAAATATACAGTGAAGAGTAAAAAAACGTGAAAATAAATAGAGAGTAAAAATAGTCAAAAATACGTTATAAAATAAATAGTAGTTGGAAAAATAAATAAAAGTAGTAAAAAATAATTAAATGGTCAAAGAAGAGAGAAAAGGAATAGAGTAAAAATATTAAAAAATTGTAAAAAAAGTGAAAGCAATAAAAAAATTGTAAAAATGTAGTAAAAATAGTAAAAAGAATATAGAAAACGTAAATAATGTGAATAAAAAAAAAGAAGAATATAAAGTGTAATATTAAGTAAAAATATTAACAATTGTAAAAATAGTGAAAAGAAGAGAAATGTATATAGTAAAAATTTAGTAAACAGTGAAATGAGTAAAAATAGTACAAAATTTGTAAATAAGTAGTAAACATGAATAAAGAGAGAAATAAGTAAAAATACGTAAGAATATTGAAAAGAATAAAAATAGTAATAAGAAAAGTAAAAAATAATAATAATCTTTATTACCGTTTAATTGAATAACTTGATAAAAAAAATATGTAAAAATAAAATAAAGAAAATAAAATTAAAACCAAATTAACTTTTTGGTGAAATTTCGATTTTTATTACGTTTTTAATTGAATTGAGATTTATCATTTGGAGGGAGGAGGAGATGGGAGACTTAAAATTTTATGAATGGTGCGGGTATATTTGTAGATTACTTCCTTCCGTGGTTTGGTCATTTCTTTTTATATGGTGGCACGTGACCAATTTGTCAGGAAAGTTTCAACATTACTTTACCAACAAAAATGAGAATAATGGAAAACCTTTTTGAGTCCAGTTGGATAATTCATCCCCATTTCACGTCATTCTTAGCCAAAAGCCTCCCCTACGGATATATTAGGTTTATGGTCATTCCGCACTCGACAAGACTCGAGGCAAACAGGAAATAGCTTCAAGCTTTTAGCAAATGTGTGTCCGGTTTTATCGTCATCTCTAAAATTCTTGCCTTTAGTTTCTGTTTCCTCTTCTTTTTTTTCTTTGTCTCAAAAAAATTTTGTGTAAAATTTTTAAATCATCTTTACATAAATTTTAAATGATTGAAAACAGATTTTTTGTCCTTTTCTTTTATTGAAGAAAGAAATTGTTCTTCTTTTCATTTTATTCTCTGTATCAAAAATTGAAAACAAAATTTTTTTCCTTTTCTTTCATATTTTTAAGATAAACTATTTTTTTCCATTTGAGCGTTAAAAACTAGTGAATAAATTAAATTAAATAGAAACATTTTTTAATATGTTTGTACCAAATTTCGAAAAACAAAGTGGAGGGGAAATTGAAAATCAGTGACTTCTTTGTTCGGGGAATAAATAAAGTGTATATGCACATGGAAGGCATGGGTCACAGTCACGGAGGCTGGAAATAAATATGTAGGGCGCTACCGTGTCCTCGAATTTAGTTACACTTATAATATTGGATTGGCATATAAGGGCCTAAGGGGGCCTTGAGCGATTTCAAGTATCGGAACAAATGTTATTTATTGACCGAGAGAATCAGTGGTGTACTGAAATTCCCAGGGTGGTCCTTAGGATATGTGCCTCCGATTCCCCTCCGAACAACGAAATTGCCCATTTTAGGAGGGAAAAAAATGATGATGACGATGATTAGAGGAAATTCTCTTGGAAAATTTCTCTTCAGGACAAATAACTCTCTGGAGACGTTCATTTTGTTAAAACTGCGAGGAAAAAAGGTTCTTTAAATTTTTATTCATAGTTCTTTAGTTTTTTACTGGGGAAAATTTTTCTTTTTTAGAAATTTTTAACTGTTTTCAATTTTGCGAAAGTAAGGAATTTGTTCCTTAAATTTTCATTTGTTTGGTCTTTTTGATTGGGAAACATTTTATTTCGAAATATTTAATTAGGTATTAAATTTGGTATTTTATGTGTTTCTTCCTGTATTTATTTTTTTCTTCATTTATTTATACACTTCAATAGTGTACAGACTCAATAATTTTTTGGTTTCTCTTTATAATAGTATATTATAGGTACAGAAAAAGTTCCTTAAATTTTTATTTTCAGTTTTTTATTTTTCGATAGGAAAATGTTATACAACAATTTTTTATTTTCTCTTTATAAAAATAAATAAAAATTGATCAGATTTCCATTAGCAGTTCTTTAGTTTTCGACAGGAAAATATTTTTAAAAATTAATAAAAAGAATTATGTTGACTTTATGAAATTTATATTCGAAAGAGTGTCGCATTTTTTATTTACTTGATTTAAATAATATTCATTTCGAAAAGCTCTTATAAATGTAAAGAAGTCAAATTTTCCAGAACTGTTATAAAAATTTAAGGAACTGAATATTTTGGCAAATATTAAATTGTTGCAACTTTTCATTCAAAATTCACGAATAAATTATATAGAATAGAAAAAAATTTTTAAGCAGTCATTTTAATTTTACAGAACTGTTCAGCATATTTTAGTGAAAATCAATCAAAAAATTTAAGGACAAAATATTTTTAACAAATTTTAAATGTTCAGTTTCACAATTTTCCATAAAAAATTTACATTAAAATTCACAAAATTTAAAAACCGTTAAACTTTTCAGAACGTTTCATCATATTTATTATGATTAATAAAAATTTTTTTAAAATGGTTTAGCAAAAAATTTAATGCTTTGTTCAACAATTTTTTATTTACAGTTTATC